CTCAGTCTGTGGCTTGGAGCCGACATATGCAAATTAGCCGCCATCTTGGCTGACAGTTAATTTGCATATACTCACTGATTAGCCAATGAAAAGGGTAGCGGTCGTACGCTAATTACCATGTTTCTCTTTTATTAGTGTAGTTCATGCCCGGTGTCACCTCTCCTGCTCCCCCGAGCCCCTGGCCTTGGTGGCTTTCACCCCTGCCTCCACCCTCTGACTGAGATTTGCATGTTCCACTAACCCAGGCAGGTGGAGGGTGGCGGCACCAGGCTTTTAGCTGCCTCAGGGCAGAACACTAACCTGACCATGGGTGTGACGGCAGCCATGAGCATGGGGGAACACTTATGTTATATTGGGGAGTGGGGAGTCAGAATTTGATAATTTGGAGAAGTCTTACATTTCACCACTAAATTTTTTTTCTCTCTCCCAGCACCCTATTTCACGCCTTTTTCTCTCTCTTCAAAACTCCAAAATTCCCTCCTCTTCCTGAATTTAAACACGAGTACCACTTATTTATTCAGAATATATATCATCAGATTATCCAATTTACCTGTCCTTTATACTCTGCAATCCTTCCTGTTAAAATGAATTAACTATTCCTATTCTTAACCAAGAACAATTTGGGCACAGAATTCCATTCCCTCCCACATCAGAAATTTTACTCCTAGCATTATTTCTTCTGTTCCCGCATCATCTCTCTCTCCCTCTCTCCCTCTCTCCCTCACTCAGATTTTTCCTATTAACACAAAAGCATACTATAAAATTTCACATTTTGAAAAAGAATTCATTCTTTGGCCTCATGTCATTCTCCAGCTACCTCCTTGAAAGTAATCTCTACTTCGTCATCTCCCATTCTTTAAGGGGCAGTAATCATGCTATTGCTCCCACACTTCACAGAAATGGCTGGTTGTCAAACCCAGTGGTCAGTTATCACTGTTCACCTTAGTCTCTCAGCAGAATTGCACAGAACTGACCGCTCTGTCCTTTGTGAATGCTCTCCTTGCGTTCTGAGACTCCCACCCTCCTTGGATTCTGACACTCCCGCCCTCACTGGGTTCTGAGACTCCCGCCCTCCCGTTTTCTTGCCACCTCAGGGGCTACTCCCTCTCTGTTGCTGCTTCCTTTTCCTGGAAGGTCCCTTTGCTCAGTCTTACGAGATGCTCTCTTCTCTATCTGGACTCACAACCGATGAGGTTTATTTCTATCCCTGTGGCTTTACATGCCTTCTGTGTGTTGGTTCCATACAGCTGTCTCTAATCCCCATCTTCTGCCTGAGCTCCAATGAAACCTCCTTTGGGGTATGTAATAGGCACATCAAACCGTGTGCAAAACAGAACTCTTGGTTTTCCTCCCATGAACCTGCTCCCCCACAAGAAAGGTACCACTATTCTCCCAGGTATTCAAATCATTAATGTATTACTCCTTTTCACCTGCCACATGCTAATCCCTATGCAAGCTGATTGGTTCTGCCTTCACAAATATTTCCCAAACCACCAATTCTTACAACTTCCAACATAGTCTCTCTAGGATAAAGCCACATATCTTTCATAGACAACTTCAAAAGCTTGCTAACTGCTCTCCCAGCTTCCACCCTGGCCCTGTGCAGTCTTGCAGCCCTCCAGTGGCTTTCTTCTGTGCTTAGAATAAAATCCTAAATCTTTACCATGGCTGTGTGCTCTCCTACCTCTCATCTCCCCGGGTGCTTGTTCTTCTCTATTCACAGTGGTCTTTTCACCTTTCTGTAAGCTCATTCTTACCCCAGGGTCTTTATGTTTGCAACTCCCTATGCCTGAAATGCCCTTTTCCAGATCTCTAAATGGCTCACTCTTTCCCATCTTTCAAGTATCTGCTCAAACGTCACTTCCTCAGAGAGCCTTCCTAAAACGCCCTGTCTACAATAGCTTCCTCACCGTCCTTAACCCATGATCCCCTTAACCGGGTTTATTTCCTTCTCAGACTTTTTAGCTACTTGCTATTACATTCTTTATTTTTAATTCTCTAAAACTATCATTTAAGCCCTTTGTAGGCAACGATTTATTTGCCTTGCTTATTGTCTTACTAGCATCTAGAATAGTGTCTAATAATGGAGCTCAAAAATATTTATTATGTGAATGAACCAACTGTGTAAAAAAAAAAAAGTCCACTTAAAAGACTAGAGGAAAAATATCTGAGGGATAAGATTGCAGGTTTGGTTGTTTTCCTTTTTTTTACGTCTTCTTTATGCTTTTCACTGGTTCTCAACTTTTCTATATTGAATACATTTTAATCAGGGGGAATACAAACTATTTAAACTAATAAAATATATCCTACAGTCTGGTCAGGCCCACTTTATCACTCAATGCATGTTTCTTTCAGTGTCAAGCCTTACTTTCTCCCGTCACCTCTGCTAACCCTTCAAATCTCAAGGCCCGCGGCCTCCATTTCTTCATGCCACCTTCCCTGAGCATTCCTATCCTCACTCATCTCCCTCCCTACCACAGACTTTGCATTTCATTGTGTATGTTGTGCCACATTTATTCATTTTTATTCTTACATTTTTTTGTTTGCTGGTGTAGGTGTGCATCAGAGAAAGAGAGTTATGAGTTAATTTTCTTTCCTCAGCAGAAACTGTGTCTCAGCCTGCTCCCCCACCCCCACTCCGTGTCTCTAACACAGACTAATAGCAGAGTAAGCACTCAATAAGAACTTGGTGACAGCACTTGGTGTGGAAGCTACTGGGTCTCGAAGCTGTGGTCTGAAGATTCCTGGTAAAATGGAGACCATTAATACCTTACAGATGGTTCTAAACTCAAGATAGAAAGTGTCTCCCGTAATGCCCAGCATGTAGCAGGCAATGAGTAAATGGTAGTTATTATTATTAGAAATGCTACCTTCTTGCTATTTGCGCTTCGAAGTTTGGTATGGCAGCCGCACCTCATTTCTTTCACAGTGAATGGCCTTGGTGCATCCCCAAAGCTGGGGGTCAGAGCACTGCTGGGTGGTGAAGGTGCTATTAAAAAGCCTGGGCCAGAAAAAGCAAATAAGCAGTCCTGCCCCAGGTTAGCCCAAGCTCGGATTTCCTTGTCTGAATGCATAATGATAGGAAGGGGGTTGTGTCACAAAAGGAGCTGTTTTTGTTTGTCGTCCAGGCCCACTAATCTAAACATCTCTCACTTCTCAGGAATTATTTTAGGACCAGGAAGCAGCACGCTGTTTATTGAAAGAGTTACAGAAGAGGATGAAGGCGTCTATCTCTGCAAAGCCACCAACCAGAAGGGGTCTGTGGAAAGTTCAGCATACCTCACCGTTCAAGGTAAACAGCTGCTCCAGAAAGCAACCAGAAACTGTTCAGACATCTATTTCCCTGTTTGTTTAACTTTTCACCTCCCAGTCTCCTGTTGCCCCTCCTGTCTGTGCCTTTCCCTGACCTCCTGCCCCCTTCCCCTGTCCCTCTGGGGAAAGCCTGTCTAGTTACACTCGGCAAGGCTGAGGTGAGGAGGACACTGGCTGGCCACCCTTGAGAGCCATTTGAACACAGTCTCCGTGGGGGGAGTAGTTCCCAGAAGAAAGCCCGCTGCTGCCAGCATGATGACATGACCCACAGAGAATGACAGGAGTGGCCACACCTGTGAGAAAGAAATCCAAGAAGGAAGACAGTGGGTGTAGATGGGGGGAGGGGAGGGCCAGGCACTGGAAATGGTTCGTTTTTTTCCATTTCCAACTCCCACGAGTTAGACATATCTTGCAAACTTTTCATAAGCTGGCTTTTAACATGAAGGAGGCTGCAAACTATCAGAAAAAAAGCAACGCATAATAAACAGACCACATAGGCTTCAGATAGCTTATTGAGTAGCAAAATCCAAAGAGGCCTAATCCTACGCTGGATTGTGGCCATGTGGCTTCCATTTAGAAAATAGTTTAGACCTCAATTTCAATTCTCTGATGCCAACAATCACCCGAAACATAACAGTTACAGCATCACAAATTATTAAATTGGCACCTCTTAATGTAATTACCTATGGCACATTAAAGTTTTACATGAAAAGATGGCATTTGTTCAGCAGCCTATTTCCAAATGATCCCCAGTAGACTTCAGAATAGGTATGTATTTTGGGGGTAGAAACTAGGATGAAGGCAACATACACCAGTTCTGCCCTGAAAACTTCCAAAGCTTAAAGATTGTAACTCTGAGAATTCAGACTCCTTTTAAAAAGAATATCAACCACCTTCTTTTACAAGGAAATGATTCTAGAGATTCTCCTGAAAAATCTGAAAGTATGCTACCACAAACTTATGGTTTCAGAAAAAGTCAAGGGTAGCATTCCCACATACTTTTGGTAATGGCCCTTTTTGTCTCCCAAATAATCCTTGTTTTAAAGTATTATTTCAACTTTTCTGCTTACATAGGAAGAAAACAATTTATTAAGTGTGAATCTCTCTTTATCAACTCCTTCTTCAAAGGACCATTAATTTATCACTTAACAAGGACTCCAGATATGACTCTCAGGGAGTAGCCACATCAGGCCAGGGAGGGACCTCCATCTGAGAGAGGGGTAGCAGCAGAGAGCAAGGAAGGCTCCTAATCCTCCGTCCAGAAGGTATTTTCCCCCATATCCTCGCAACAACCCTGCAAGATACACAGAGCAGTTCTTACAAAACCCAGGGAGGAATGAAATGACTAACCTAAATCCTGTAGCCAGGGAATGGCGGATTCGCGATGACTCACTCCAACCCTCCACATAGCTGCCTTCCCTCGCCAGGTGTCTGTCCCCACTTCTGTGTGAATGTGGGTTAGCAATGGCTGCGAATGAAGCCTGGAGGTCTTCATTCTGAACTGCTCCCAAATAATCCCAAACTGTCTGAACCGCTCCCAATTTCCTCCAAATCCTCCTTATCCTCCAGGCCAGTTTAGATGCTCTCTACCCTGTGATGTCCTCCAGGATGAAGAGCTGAGTCAGATGTTCTCTTCTCATTCTCTTCTCTGTCTCCCACACCATGGTTCCTGAGTCTTTAGTCAGGCTCATTTTATTCTGCATTTTATTATTATTTAGTCGTTGATATGTTTTTCTTCCCTACTGAATCATAAGCTGTGTCTGACATGTCTTTATATCCCGTACCCATGCAGGAGACTCATATTTATTTAGTGCCTTTATGTGCAAGCACTTGATATATGTATCCCATTATGGGCTACACACTTGATATACATATCCTTTAACTTCATAGGAGTCAAAAGAAGTAAGTATTATCTTCAGTATACAGGTAGGAAGATGGAGTCTCAAAGAGTTAAATTACTTGCTCAAAGTCGCACAATGAATAGGTAGTGAGGTTGAGACTTGAGCATATGTCTTTGGAAACTGTAGGTTTCCATCCTTCCTCCATTCTTCTCATTCCTGAAGTGCCTTTGGAACTTGTATGCAAGGCCTTAGCATAAAATTGAGCTTTTAGACTCAGTTATCCTATTATTTGGTTTTCTCTCTACCTGCTTTTAGCTTTCCTACACTGATTCCTTTCCCACTAATGTTATGCTTTCCTGAAAGTCAGACAGGAATACTGTTATCACCAATAAGTTCTGAACGTTTTTATCAGCCTATTTGCTCTTGCAGAAAGGGGAGATAATTTTCACTTGAATTGCCCACATCAGCTGCCATCGTAGATGTTCTGATCCCTATCATCTCTTGACATAATCTCTTAGCCTCCCAAATAGCCTATCCCAGTGGTCGGCAAACTCGTTAGTCAACAGAGCCAAATATCAACAGTACAACGATTGAAATTTCTTTTGAGAGCCACATTTTTTAAACTTAAACTATATAGGAAGGTACATTGTTATTAACTTAATTAGGGTACTCCTAAGGCTTAGGAAGAGCCACACTCAAGGGGCCAAAGAGCCGCATGTGGCTCGCAAGCCACAGTTTGCCGACCACGGGCCTATCCTCTCCTCTCAACCTCCTCTAATACGCTCCCAAATCTAGAGTGATCTTTTTTAAATAACAAATCATATGACATGTTACTTCCCTGCTTCAAATCTTGCAGTGGTTCCCGATCGCCTATTCCCCTCATGCAGGCACACAGGTCCTCTGTGGACTCCTTCTCCATCCCCATCCCTTCTCCTTCCCACAAGTCCCACACTCTGGCTGGACTGCATTACTTGTGATCCAGCGAACACACTGTGCTCCTCCTAGTCTTCTGCCTCAGCACGTTCTTTCCCTTTTGTATGAAGAGGCTTCCTTCCCATCTATTCTCCCCCTGGACAATCCACTCATCCTATATAATAAAAGGCTAATATGCAAATCAACTGAACAGTGGCACGACTGGTTGCTATGATATGCACTGACCACCAGGGTGCAGACGCTCAACGCAGGAACTGCCCCCTGGTGGTCAGTGCGCTCAGCCAGAAGCCCTGAGCCAACAGCACTAAGGATGTCTGACTGCCAGCTCCCGGACTGTGAGAGGGTGCAGGCCAGGGTGAGGGACGCCTCCCCCCTCCCCCCCCGAATTTCGTGTACTGGGCCTCTAGTCCTTTATAATTCACTTTCTCTTCACCTGATTACTGATCACACCATCATTTGCCCTTCTGTGCTCCCATGGCTCTTGACATGTACCTTTAATGCAATGCTATCATTGCCTATCACTCACTCTTCTATCCCAGAGCACTGGATAAATGTTTGTTGGATTCATATATTTAGAAAACCACCACTGAATATCTGATAAAAGAAATGCACCAGTATATTGTTTAGAGCACTAGAGAAAAGCCAAATTCAATGTGCTGTTAACTCAATGACTTAATTATTTTCCCAGGATTATGCAGGATATGGAAGTGTAAGCCACAATCAACTAACCTCAGTGGGCTTTGAAGACCTAGTTGAAAGGAGAGTAAGGTGCACATGAAACAATTAAGAACCAGGTCAATAAACATTTTGAGTGCCTCCTAAGGGTAAAGTAGAAACATAATTTGTATAAAACAGACTACACAATGCTGCTAGTCAGGGCACCGAAGCTCACAGAGGCAGGAGAGGATATGGTGACCTGATCTCTAAAGGAGACCTTGTCAGATGCTGGGTGAGCAGGTGAATGAGCAGGAAGGAGACAGCAAGTTATGAGCACCTTTGGACCTTCTACATCCTTTTCTTCTTTGGCAATAATGAAGTCTAAATAATTCTAGGTATTTCCTATTGTCTAGTCCATTGAATTTTATGAGGAATCTGTATTTTTGATTCATGACCTCTTTTCCCTCATGTGGCATTAATATTTAATATCACTTAGAGAAATTGTATAGTTTGCAACATGGCTACAACTATATACTAGAATATGCATCCTTCTTTTTTACTGGTTATTGTCCCCAATTGCCATGCTATTTGAGTTCTTGTGTCTGCTTTTCATAGTTTTTCTGCCTTCTCCCTTGCTCTCTTTTGTAATTTTTTTCTACTTTAAAAGGGATGGCTATTTCCAAATTCTCTGTTTAAAACTTGTGGTTAGCTGAGGAAATAGATTACCTGATCTGTAATCATCAAACCACACCTGAAACATTGTACCCATCTCTAAGCATAAATAAGTGGAACCATAGTCCTAATAGAGTAATGGTAAAGCAGTGCAAAGAAATGAGGATGTTTAGTCTAAAAAGGAGACAACGTGGGCTGACATTATTGTTTTCTTCAAATACTTAAGGAGCTTTCAGACTGAGGAGACATTTGACTCCTTCTTTGATACTGAAAAATAGAACCAAGAAAGGGAGATGGTAAAGTTTCAAGGAGGCAGGTCTCAGCCCCATTTAAGGATACCTGACATTTTGAGTAGGAAAATTTCTCGAAAGTTGACATTGGGTGGATTTTATAAGTTAGATGCAATCTTGAATGAAAGTGCTTTGGGCTCACGGAATAAAAATTTGATCCTTGGAGGCTGTTCAGAACAGTTGAATGCAGCACCTGCTGAGTAGTTTTATCACTGAAATTAGATTCCTGCCCTAGAGTCTAAGGCGTTATTCTTCTCACTCTGGTGGCTCTGAAACTTCCCTGGCTTGAGACTGACTTCCTGATATATGCAAATAGACCCTTCCCACTGACCTATCTTGTCAGGTGGAGTTTAGGAAATGAAACCAGGAGCATAAGTTGTGTCTGTGGTTATGTTTAACAGATTTAAAGAGGTTCGTGAATTAGCCAGGAAGGAAACTGTCTGCTCTTTTTATTTCCTTTAAAAAAGGATTCTTATACTCATAGATAAAACAATGTGTTGTTTTTGTATCTGAAAAGGCTGAGTGGACTATGGAGGTAATGCAGCTTCTTTAAATAATGATGGGTCTTGTTTGGTTTGGACTGCACA